CTGACGCTACCGGCTGCGCTTGAGCAACATCAATTCCAGAAGAATGCACAACAGCTGCTGAAATATATCAGGATGACATAAGCTTATTCGACAGCTTACAAAAAAAAACTACAAAAAACTCACGTGTGTGATCTCTAGTTATTGCCTTATCCAAGAAATTTTGCGAAAGCAGGTGTACTGTTCCAATATGTTTATCTAACGATTTTTGACCATAGAAGACGACATCTGAAAGAAGAAAGAAAACTAATTCGAGATACTATTTGCAGGTAACCCTCACCACAAACTGGACATTTCTTTCCTTCATCTAGTCCTCGCTTAAACTTAGTCTTTGGACCTTTACCCAATGGTAAGACATTCCTTGGTACAGCTTTTATAGATGGCCGTCGTTTGATGTTGATCAATCGAGAACTCTGTAAGCACACATAATGAACTATAACGCACAGCGACGGCCCACAAAATTTAGACAAGCAATCAATCTTATGAAAATGCGGAAAAGATAAAAATAAAGAATTTACGAAGTCCTCTGAAGGCTCTAAAAACCACAAATGCCGCTCCTTCATCATAATCATACTACATGGTACCAAAAAATATTGATAACACTGCGCAACCATCGGTACTACCCCTACCCTAGACTTACCCCTGGTCGCAGATCTGGGTCCGTCTGCTTGATATGAGAGACGAGCTTTCTCAAAGAAGTAGCATCCAGCTAAAAGGAGTAATACATGCTACACGGATAGAGCGAAAAGAACAGCAGATGAATTAAGTGTTTCATAAATCTTACCAGTTTCCGAACATCAGCCCCAACCAGCAGCTTTGTATATGCACAACTATGCCGATAGTGAAACAAAAGGTTGTAATCGTATTTGAATCTAAACAAAACATGAAACTGACGTTATGAACGAGAAAACTGGAGAAAGATTTGAATATAAGCAAAAAGTTAATGATAAGAAATAATAATATAATAAGCAATATAAGAGTAATATAAGAATAATAAGCAATATAAGATTTGAATGCAACGGATTTTACCAAAGACCGAAGAAAAACCATACCTGTGTCCACATAATAAACATTTGTGGGCACCATAATGAGAGTGAAAGCCAGTGATATGCCGCTCCAGTCGACCAGCATTAGCAAACTGCCTAGAATCGTTCCAAATTTTCATGAAGGAAATTGATATACGAATGTCAGCAAGACGAACCGAAAACAATCAGGACATTCCAAAGGTTTGCCGTTTTCAGAAATACACCACTTATTACGATCAGGAACAACTACGTTGACGAGTTCGCCATTGATATCCACTACAGTGTCCGCCGGGTTCACATAGTCATCCATAAAAACCACCGTCTGTAGAGGAGAATGTCACTTACGGCACAAATCACAAGAAAAAGTAAAGTATGTTGTGTATGATAACTTCTTCATTTGATTATTGTAAAAAACAATAAAAGAGAAAAATATTAGGTTGTCCCGAAAGTAAACTCCATTTATTAAGATTTCTCAAGCTAAATTTCATGTATCT